TTGGTTGTATGTAGGAAGCTTTTATCCAAAAGAATCATGGCTGATGATTCTTTTTCATTGAAAAAAAAACATCTCCTTTAAATGATGCTATAGTCTACTGATTGGTCATGGGAATTTTTCTGTCAAGCTCTTTATAAAAGTTATTTATGCATAAAGCAACAAGTGTTGGAATTCTTTCAGTTCCTACAAAGATTATTTTTAATGATGTTATACATGCCATGGTAATTTGTCAATTTTTGTTTCTATCTGAATTATTATCACTTGAGATATTTTCCAACATTTATCCATTCTTTTTCTACATCAGCTTCATCGAGCCAGGGTTATGAGGTGGTCAGAGCCTATTGACAGAAAACATTCAATGAGAGCTGAAGTACACCCAGGAAAGGTTGCTAATCATTTCCCAGCACATGCTTTATATAAATCTTTGACAGGTAACCTTGCATTTTTTACATTATTGACATTATTACATTATTTTAATAAGACCATTCTGCCTTTATTTAACAAGACTGCAATTTTCCATTAACATCATCCTCTGAGAAAAAAATCTAAAATTAATTTCAACACTTTATTCCAAATGTATATATCAATCGTCCACAACTACCATTGTATTTTCAAAATTATCTGCATAATGACAGGATCTCCAAAGAAAAACATAATATAACTCTTACTAATAGTACAGAAAAAGGAAGAGGGACATTAACTGATTGGACAAAAATAGCTAATATTTGTTTTGTTTTTTTCCCCAGCATACCTAGATCAAAACAAAGATGAATGGATGAATAGCTGTGTCTTTAAACAAGACACAGAGTTCATCTGTAATTAATGTCATAACTTTGGTTACGGTTTTAGGTTGTAGTTTGCTAATCTAACACACTATGAATCAGTCAGATAATGGCATCAAGTTGATCTCCTATGCAACAGAATAGTTTTAATCTCCCACCGGCCGATACATTCACTAGTACAATATGTTGGTTCTAATTGATCTAACTGATTTTCAGAAAAATGAATAAACGCGGCTTTCTACAGCTGCTTTTGTAGTTCAACCTAATGCAAAACCCTGAAATGAATAAAGGTGTAAAGATTCAGTTATTCAAATTTCATCCGAATAATTTTGCTCTCTGCTGTGCAATTATAATTATTGTGTGTGTACAGAAACACTGAGTAGCTCCACTCAAGCATATCATCACTGGTCATTATACAGTTAGGTTTTATTACCGTGAAACACATCCTCAGCTCTACATAGTGGTTCACTGAGTTGCCCACTTTTGCAAATCTACTGACTTCATGTAGACTCATGTCCATACTATACTTGGCACTTGGTTCTTAGTAACTAGTCCCATTATCTGATAGCTACACTTTGGCATTGAACAAGATGCATAGTTTTGATGAAGCCATGCAAAAAATTATTCTCATTTTTCATTACATTATATTTATCCCCAAAATCTACAAAACTATACACCAAGAATATGCATAACCAAAGGGAAAAAATTTTCAGGAAAGGGAAATTGAAAGGTTTCTTAATCATGGATTCACATATTTGCAGATTTTTCTGTAGAATGTAATTCCAAACTGTTCACAGAATACTGGCCTATTTTCAGATATTTTTTCATAGAGCATAATCTTAAATATTTGATAGAATATGCACGTTGGGAAGCTGAAATATCTGTAGGCACTACTTGATGGACTGTACCACTAACAGTGGTGATAAGAAAAGCTTGTGTTTGAGTTAGTTCTAAAATGCATTCCACTTTGGTTATTAATGTATATTAAGTTATATTTGGCATCTGAACATATATTTGGCATTGCAACGATTAAAATAGGCCCTTATAACATTTTTCAGATAGGGTCTGAAGTACCTGCAGATTTCAGCTATTCATGTGATCCTAAATCCTTCCAGCTTCTTTTTGTATTGCACCTCGTACATGCACTCGAACCAAAGACCCTGTCTATTGCTGATATACTGAAAGTTCATTTTATGTTACATCATATCATTAGGTATAAGTGTTACCCATTAAAGTCATTGCAATGGAATTAAATTTTGGTGCACAAATGTGCTTTTACAAATAAATATTGAAAAATGCACCTACCTAGGAGAAAGTAGGTGCAGCTTGACCAAAAATACCGATTGACTCAATAAGCTTGTTCACAAATTAAGGTTTCAGGTTTAGATAATGGGGCTTAGTGTTTTAACAACTTTGCAGACTGTAAAGTCCAAAGAATTGGATTATATGCAAGGTAAGTGTACCAACAACATCTACCCATATAAGAAAACAGCTTCTACATAGCTGTCCTCTGTGTGCTAACGGGTTAATACACTCAAAATTGACATTTATTATGCCTTTTACAGGTAGGAAACATTCCACTTCATTTGACAGAGGTCAGCCCAACATTATGGAGAATTAATTTATGTTCCATTTAAAGCTGACCTTAGCAGAAGCAGCCTCAAGGAGTTTAAGATGAATTCATTTGAGCTTTACATTTTGCTGACAGGTGAATAAATCTTTCTCCGGCAGGTGTATAAAACATATCAAAGAAAAAATGTAAAACAGTTTGACTCCAAAAGGCAAATTTGAATGCAGAGAGTCCTAAGCATAAGTGCTTATAAAACTGCCCGTTGTCGTGGTTACCAATTCAGTTACCAAAAGAGCAGCAATGCAACACTTTATTGTCTCTTAAGGAAGATGCATTTGTCCAAAGTTTGACATGGCATTTTGAAAATAAAAACATCTCATTTGTTTGTAGAAAAAAGGCAGCTCTGACAGAAAGATTTGTACAGCCATGGTAGAGAGAGCATCCATTTGTGAATACAGAGACAGGCTGACAACACACACAAATGCTGAAGCAGGAAGCAGACACAGAACGCCTGGCAGAAAGAAGGACAGAATCGAACTGAGAGAACCCACTGAGCTTTCGGAAAGGGAATAAGTGGGCTGGCAGCTATTGGTAAGCAGTGCAGTAGAATAAGGAGGATAAAGAGAGAATTTTAAACTCATTTTGTGTCACTCCTGATCCTCTACCCTGTCCTCTTTAACTGCTAAATTTCTGGACTGCCTTCTTTTATGCCTGTTGACGTGTCATGCGTAATTTGAGCACAGCCTTAGGCAGAGATTCTTCTTTCTCCCTATTAGCTTCTTTATAAATTTGAGCAAGCGGGCTGGTAGTGCAGTGAAAGGCGAGTGTCATCCTTTGAGATTTGCCAGCCGAAGGACAAGCCATTTAAGTGCTCCCAAATCCACTTAACCTCCAAAATCTACCTTTCTGTACCAACAGATCCAATTTTGTCTTAAAGCAGACCTAAGTGGTATTCAGTGAAAAAAAATCAGATTCTCAAACTTGATATAAAACATAATTAAGAAAAAGTGAGGTGGAACAATACAGGAAATTTGTTGTATTGTTCTACCTCCAATTGGTACCAGAAGTCCTGAGTGTTCTTTTCTTAAAGCTTTTTTTTTCCATCTCTAGTGGTCTTTATTTGACCATGGTCAGAAAGAAAAGCGGATGGTGAAAAAGAGAAAAGACATGCGGCAAAGGTCAACGGGCCGGGATTTGAACCCCTGACAGCAGGACTAAGGTCTGGGTCGCGCCCTTCACCCCATGACATGAGTTTTTGTCAGGTCATGACAAAAGGTCTTCCATGTATGTTGGTGATAAACCTTTCAATGATTTGTCAAAAACAAAAGTATTTTAAAGTCTATTATCTGAGCTACCAGGAGCCAATGTAAGGACTTTAGAACTCGGCTGATGTGATATTTGTTCTTAGCTTGAGTGCGAATGCGTTTCAGGATCAGCTGCAACTGTCTGACATTTTTAGGCAAAACTGAGAAGATTGTAGTAATTACTTCAAGTCTTAAAATCCTGGAAATGTCCTTCAGGTGACAAAAGGCCAACATTGTGCAATAAACAGAGGTGAGGAACATGAGTGGCAAACAAAAAGTCTGTTAGGTGGCATGATGAAAATGAGAGGGATTGTCGGAATATACTTGTGTAGGAAAAGAATACAATGTTGTATGTATAAGCCAAAATGATTCATGTCTTTACTTCTTTGCAGGAGTGAGGGTAAGAGCAACTAAACAAGACTGATCTCCATGTGGCGGAGGACAGGGAGATGTCCCTGCACATTAAAACTATTTCAGACAGAAGTCACTTCAGTGGAGACTAATGAGCATAACAAACTGCTTTTATCAGTAAATCTCTTTAAACTAGTCCACTGGTGTCCATGTAGGTAGTGAGTAGAGTAGCTGAAATAGCAACTTAAAGAATACCATGAATGTTTTTTGACAAATCCTTCAAAAGGAGTTTTTTCTGCATGCAGACTCTCAAACTACCTGCAGTCTGCATAATCTTGCTGGTCATGTTTATTGTTCTTGATGGATTTTCATGCTGCTGTGTGCGTCGTACGAGTAACTCTACAGGCAATTTTACCTCCTCAGCATTCTCCACAGACTCAGCACACAAAAAAGCTCCCCCATATCCGTGACAGATGGTGCTCTTTGTGGTAAATTACAAGCAATTTTCTATCATTTAGTGTCAGGTTTCTATCAAGACAACAAGAATGACTTTTGGTGTGTTTTCTGCAGAACTTTAAATTCATTGATTCATAGCTGTCAAAACAAGATACCCTCACCTTTATTTATTTTTTGTTGGCTTTTGCATTCTCTTTTGTTTCTTGAACCATTCATATAGCTGGATTGAGTTATTGACAGAGACTAATTATGCTGGCATCTTTGTAACACTAATATATTTTTAAACTTTAACATTAGTTAAGGTGGACAGAGGCACACCTTCAAACATCCACAATTTTCTTCTTTCTGTCCCATACATAATTAAATATCTGACTTCATACAGCTCATCCTTCCCAAAGTGTAAGATGATTGCTGGAGATTATATATTTAAAGCCATTTGTAGAGAGAGATTATTGTGTGTTCTGCCAAAATTTCTGTGAATTGTGTTTGTCCTTGTGTGGTCTCATGTTCACCAAGCCTCTTGTGAGATTTACTCACTTGTGAGACTTCTTGCCCTCCATACCCCCTGGGCCTGAACCGCAGTCATGAGCTTGGATGATGAAGGTGTACTCCTTTTGCAACTCGCAGTCCACCAGGCCACGTGCCCTCAGCTGACCCTCGCCAGACGTTCCGTTCAGCACCACTGCCTCAAACGGAGCCTCCAGCCCATGGATGTTGAACGCACAGATCTCCCCTAGAGAGCAGAGAGAGACAGAGAAGGAGAAAGGGAGTGAAATTCAAAGAGAGAACAGAGAAACGGATGAGTTGAGAGTTTATCACAGTCCGTCAACTTGAGAGAGTTGACAAAGTTTAAGAAAACCATACAGCCACTTCTTAGCTCAAACCCAAGCTTTTAAAGCCAAGGGCTATTGACAACTAATTACTGACTGACCTACTGTTCAGATTAATTTATTGATATGACAGTAATTACTGTCCAGTGATGAACAACATTCTGGACACTTGGTGCCACTTTGGTGCCTCCGTTTATTTTCTGAAACCATTTATCCATGCAGGGTTGTTTATCAATCATAAGGCAACACAGGGATGCAAAACAAAAAACAATCATGCATGCACAAACTCATACCTAAAACAAACCTGTTAGGTATCTGTCAACCAAGCTGGTAGTTTGTTTTTTTGGGGAAAAAAACAAACAAACCAACAAACAAAAATATGTGGGAGAAAGTCAGAGTACCTGAAGACAATCCACCCATGTGCTGGGAGAACGTGCAAACTCCTGTGTTCGAATCGGGACTGGAACACAGGAACGTCTTGCAGCAATTCAAGAGTGCTACCAAATGTGGTGGAGCTGTGGTACAGTGAAATTCAAACTTACACTCGTACACTCCTGATGAGTATCTATCTATGTACCTATCTGTGCATCTATATCTCTACAGGACAGTAACTTTGGTTTAACAAAGTTAGTTGATAGCTGAGTTAGATGATATTCTGCTGCTGTTGGTTTAGCTGATAAACAAACAATGAGCACAACAGTGTGGACTCAAAGGAGATTCAAATTTGCCCTTGAGAGGATTTACAGGATGGAAATCTCTTTAAGTTCATTTTGAGGCGCTAAGAAGAAAAAAAACAAAGGGGAAAAACAAAAGTGCATCTGACTTTTATTAGCAGAGACATAATATAAAAAAGTGGCATATTTTGTGAGGCTCAGGCAGGAGTTTAATTATTCCTTTTTTTTTTGTTTGCTAAGAAAATTGACATTGCCCTTGTGATTCTGCTCACAGAATTTCAGGAAATCACTTAACACGCCAAGCTCACACTCTGACCTATGACAGCTAATTGCACTGATTTTACTTGAACTAACAGCAAGGACTAAATTGGATTCCCAAGAAGCTTTGTGCGTGCCTTGCTCCTGGCAAGTTCTGATAAGAGGAACTTTATTTGCAATCCTTTCATCCTGTTCCTGTCATAATCCCCGTCCCCTCAACCCCAACCTCCCTCTTCCTCTCCCCTGCTGTTAGGACATGGCCCCTGAAACGATAATTTGCCTGCAGAGAAGCTCTAAGCAGGAGGTAGTAAAACTGGAACAGAAAGGTAGAGAACTGGCACGTCCTACCCCCTCCCTTACGCACTTCTATCCTGGCTATACTACTTGAACAATGTTGTATCAGAACTAAATGGGCCCTGGCGCTATGGAAAAACATGGCTCAGCGCTGTGAGCATATTCATAAAATGGCAATGAGCAAACAGTGTGCGATGGCGAGTGACAGAAAATGCAGCGGTCTCTCTGTGCTGCTTCTTTTAATAGCGCGCCGCCGCACAAAACAGGCGAACACAAAATCCATCACCACTGGAGCGAGAAATAAATCCAATATACCCAGGCTAGTGCAGAAGCTTCCCATCAGGATGAATATGCCTAGGATATGCTGATGACGCACACCTACTGTTGAGGCTCGGTGTGCCAATGTGTTCCTTGTGATTTAATTGTACCTGATGGGGGAAGTGATGAGGACTTGGGGTGGGAGGGCCGTCAAGGTGACCGAACGGAGAGAGCCTCTTATTTTTTCCAGAATCAAATGGCTGTAGGTTCCAACATATCTGACACAATGTCTTCTCCTTTATGTGTGTCTTTCACTTTTCTCCAGTCGTGACAAGTGATCTGCCACCTGCGATTAGAAAGAGAGGGCTGGTGGCTGCGGGAGAGACGAGAGTGGACGACGTCCTCGCCCCAGTGGAGGTGAGGGAACAGATGTGAGGCGACACATCTGGGCGACAAGATGGCACTTGGCAGAAAAGCCATAAACATAGTGGCTAAATATATTTCTGTGCCACATCAGACTGCTAAAGAGGTAGACCTTTGGTCAAAAGCAACTCATGCTCAAAAATTAGAGGCTGCTTCTTTGTAAGTATGAAATAATAAATACAAACTAAAAGCTGTTTGAAGAACCAACGAAGAACACTCCACAATTAAATAGCCAAACTAAGAGCCTTTAGCAGCAGCACTCTACCTGTGTGATCATAAGCTTTATCTATCAATCAGATGGCTTCACGTTTGACCCTTCAATGGTTCAATGGTCTCTTAAGGCTGATAGATACATAGTCGAAAATGCTTATTTAAGCATTGATTAATTTCACTTAAGATAAGTATATATTAAATGTTTAAATAGGCTTGAAGATGTGCTACCACAGTGTTTTAGAGGAATGAGGATTTTTTTTCAAATAAACCATACTTGTTCAGTCCTTTTTTTATTGCCTTGTAATGAACTTGAATCTTTAATATCTGAGATACAATATTTGAGAACTAATGGCCAGTAATACAGTAAACATTGCATCGTCTTTCTGCATTGGTCTTATGGTAAGACACATATATGATCCAAAGAAATAACTTCTTTGTGCCAAAATCCTTTATTTTATAGCAATGGTGAGAGTATTAATTAGTTCAAGCAGTTAAGCAAATTTATTAGCAGTAACTGTCTTAAATTCCTATATTTATTACAAGGAAACTACAAGTTTTTCCCAAAAGAACTTTCCATTTTTTTCCCTGGTTTTGTTCATAAGCTACATACCACTTTTACATATTCTTGAATTTAGGTCATTTTTACATCCTGGCAGACAACAGATTAATTTTATTGTCTTAATATGCAAAATTCTCAGATCTACACAGCACATTTATGTCTTGTTGGCATGAGTTTATAGTAAAGATTTGAATCTAACTTACTTATTCCTCTCCCCACATTCTGTTGCTGTGTTTGCAAAGTCTCACCCTGGATAAATGTCTTTTATTCATTTAATCAGGTGCAAATGAATGGCTGTCTATAAGGCAGAGGGAAGGTTGATAGTACCTGAGCTGCCGTCCTGTTTGGAAATAGAAGTCATGCAGTACTAAAAACCTCTGGAGAATCTGGCACTTGTCCACAGAAGACTATCTTTGAGGACACAGAACTCATTATCACTGAATTCACTGAAGGCAGAGCTGTTTTGCTGGCAGTGGTGGCCGATGTTTGCTAAGCTGGAGGAGTGTGACAGAATATTGTGGGTCATTCACGTTGCCTTGGGCTCCACGTTATTATCAAAGCTGACACAACCGTGTTGATGAGCTTTCTGTGTCTGAATGGGTATGCACTTGCACATATGCCTGGTGGGGATGAGAGGGGTTGGGGGGAACAGTGTTTTCACACATAAGCGTGGAGATATTTGCAGCAGATGTTAAGTGAGCAAGAGGGAAAGTAGAGATATCAGTCGAGCAAGAGAGTTAGAGCCTAAAAGAGGAGGAAGATATAGCGACAGATGAAAAGAAGATCCAAGAAAGACGGGAGCCGGGCCACTGCCGAGGGCCAGCTCCGATCTCAGCACTGGAGAGTGACCAAAGCACAGGCGTGAAGACACACTCAGATTAACTGAAACGTAGCCAGTCTGGAAGCTCTAATCAAAGCCAATGTGCCTTTCATCCTCCTACTGTTGGAGCCCACATGGCAGATAGACAAAAAGTAAATCAGATTACTGGATATCATACTGTCAGTGACCAGATTCTACCCCAAACACCCATTTGTAGGAACTGAAATGTGCTCACATGTTCCCTCATCATTGTAAGTAAATCAACCCTGTTTCCACAAGAAGTATGCTCAACTATGAGGCTTATGCAGTTGTCGTGATTTCTGCTGCTTTTCCAATTCAGGTTTGGCATCAAATTATCTCTTGTGTTAGTCACCCCCATAACCTGCTAATTCTCCCTCTCATTTTGCTCCTGAAAATACAATTACCCATCCATAAGCACTCCAGGATACATGGATTCCCTCCCCCATAAACCCCCACACAACCCTCTCAGCTGCGGCTCAGAGATAGAAAGTCTGCCTCATAACTCTGCCGAGGGCTGAAATTGAAAATGCTGTAATTATGCTCTTCATGAAATTAGCCAGGCGAGGAAAAAACACAATTGAGAAGCTGTCCATTTTGAAGATAAGGATTAATACTAATCAAGTTTGTGTGTTCGGAATCGAGCAAATGAATCCTCAAGTAGTTTCTGTGTAAAGTCCGAGTGTGTGACCATGTAGAGTGATGGGATTTAATTAAAGACGCACTTTTTGAAGAAGGATTTAGAAGCGGGGGAGTCATAAGGGTAGAGATGTGTTTATGGCTGTTCCAAAGGAATCCTGCAGATGATTTACTCGACCTCTCGGTTGCCTCTTCTCTGTTAATGTAATTAACGTTTTCTCTCACCGAGTTAATGACATCCCACTGTCCTTTAACAAAGTGACCACCCGCCCCTGCCCTGTGTGTGTACTGCCCCAACTGTGTGACAAACTGCTGTCAGAAAGAAGAATTTAACCACCATCAAAGCTCTTATGTCAAGGCAGCTGTAGGTTGGTGAAAGCATAAACCCTGAAAATAGCTCCTGCTGTTGTTACGCGACTATTGGGTTGAGTATTTCAAACTGGTGGAAGGGAAGAAAGATAAAATATAGAATCTAAAGAAACTTGTGGCTTTGTCTAAATGTTGATGTGACTGTAATCTCCCAATTTTGCAAATATTTTACATTACTGAGAGTGCGATTAAAAAAATGGTTTTGGAGATGTACTTGTGGGCAGCCAAGATTTTTTCACAGAAAAGTTTTATGTTTTCTTTTCCTTTTCATCAAGATGGAGATTGGAGACTGGTTGCTACACTGCTTTTCTTCTACTCTTTTACATAAAGCAAAATATTCTTCACATAACTTCAAAAGGGAAACAGTTGGCACAGTAT